GGTTAGGTTGGTTAGGGTTAGGGTTTGGGTGGGTTAGGGTGGGTTAGGGTTAGGGTGGGTTAGGGTTAGGGTGGGTTAGGGTGGTTAGGGTTGGGGTTAGGTTGGTTAGGGTTAGGGTGGTTAGGGTTGGGGTTAGGGTTAGGGTTAGGGTTTGGGTGGGTTAGGTTGGGTTAGGGTTAGGTTGGTTAGGGTTAGGGTGGTTAGGGTTAGGGTGGTTAGGGTGGGAGGAGAAACTTCAGCACTCATCAGTCATGAGGAGAATGAGCGAGAAAGCTGCAGGGGGGTGATTGGGAGGAACAGCCTGTCTGATCTAAACCCGAGTGGTGTTCTATTATTGCACTTTTGTGCTTGTCATGGAACGGCCATAACAAACACCGTGTTCAATCATAGGGTGACTCACAAGTGTACCTTGCACCAGAGCACCTCAGGCCAAAGCTTGATGACCAGCTTTGTGGTCATATCATCAGACCGGCCCCCAGAAGTCTTGGACACTTGGGGAAAGAGAGGACCACAGCTGAGTTACATCAGATGGCGTGAAGTAAGGCTAAAGTGGGAACTTCTGGTGAAGGACCCTGAACGTGTGGTTTTCAGCTCCCACCTACCGAAGAATTTCTTGTCCCTCCTGGGGAGGCCAGTGACATGGAACCGAGGGGGCCATGTTCAAGACCTCCATTGCGGAGGCAGCTGTTAGGGGGTGTGGCCAGAAGGTCATTGCTTCCTGTCGGGGTGACAAACTCACCCTAACCCTAACCGCCACGCTCATGGTCATAGCTATGGCTGATTTAGAAATCCTAATTAACCATGGCTGGAGCCCCTGGAGAAAACCACACAGGCACAGAGAGAACATGCAAACTCCACACAGAAAAGCAGGTTTTCAGCTACAAAGCCCAACAGAAGTGTCCTCACTCTCTGGCCAACCTGTCAAACTGGATCTAACCCGTCACGCCTCCACCTCAGCCACTGCTGAGCTGGCAGCACGCCCTCCTTTCCCTTTTCCCTTTCTGTCTGTGGGCGTGAGACAGGTGTAGCATTTCCTTCCACGGCCCCATTGGACAATCAGCTGAGTGAGGACACCTGCGACAGAGAGCGACTGGCCTGTTCACGACGCACCACCTGCCATAACAGAAGGCTTTAGTTCACCATTTGATGCCGGATCGTTGTACTGCAACAGTTAGTCAACTCAGGCCTGTTCAGTCCAGTTCAGTCGGCTCTTTTGTGTCTGCCCTGGCTAACCGCTGTTTTTCTCGCCCAGTATTCCATGTCATTCGCCATCAGATTCCTGCTTGAGTCCCACACCTGCTTGCATTTCACTGGTGATGGCCAGATGAATAAATAAATCCTAAAGCCTCTGGGCTGTCTGCAACACTGTCAGCATGGAAATAAAACACCTTCATTTATTCTGAGTGGTTGGTCTATTCGTTCATCTAATCTGTTTCTGATTAATGTGTGGCTAATAGAGGTCTGTTAATGTTAAAAGAAAAAACCTGCCAGTATGATGTCAGTCAGTGTTTAAATACATCCAACAGGACATGAGACGTTTCTGTTCAAACTGCTGCAGTAGTTTTTAAAGACGGGACAGTGATGGTTCTGATGAATCCTGGGGTGATGCTGACTTCATTCACTTTTATTCAGAAACACTATATTTTCCTCTACGCTTGGACGCAGTCGGTTTCTCTTTGTGGAAATACCTCCTCCGGCTTTGGAGGAAACTCTTTCACATGTGAATGTTCCAGCAGCAACACGTTTCTTTATCTACAGGTACGTTATTATGTGTAATAGCTCAGCTCGCCTCCTAACGAAGCCAGCCTCAATACGCGCTGCATAAAGGACTTCCTGAACTTCTGGACACACAGAACCTCGGCACAGTACGTCCCATGACTACATCTCACCTGATGGTGGCGTTCCTCCACACCAGCCCGGACTACTGAGCAGATATTTCTCATTCCCCGAGTATACCCAGATTCCTCCTCTGCCTGCCATTCTCTGACTGCTTTCCTCCCACTAGCTCTGTCAGCTCAGTAGCACTTTGGTTTTGGTGTTGAGAGCGTATCTCTGCTTCTGTGTTACACGCTGCATGTGCTATGGTCATCCTGGACCCCGTTTGTGTAGCTTTCCTAGTCTGGTAGTACCTGGTCCTGATCAGTTCCCCCAATCCGAGACTTTAGACTGTTTATCTGAAAATTGTAGTTGTGTTTCTAGTTTACTGTCCCTCATGAGTCTCCGTAGATTTGTGTGTAATTCCTTAGCCTCCGACCAGTGTCCCCCCATTCCTGTCCTTCTACTCAGTATTTACTGTGTTTCTGGTAATGAAACCTTTGAACTTCTGCTCCCTGGTCGGCTGTGTGTGTCTGCATCCGGGCCTTTGCACTCCCCGTAACATAACCACGATGTAAACTGTCAACTAATGAAACTATAGGGGAAGAGTCAGTGGCCAAACAAAGCATGAGCATGGCTGTTTCCATGTGGATGGCTCAGCGAGAGCCAGTATGTTGTGTTGCCTGTCGTAGGCCTGCATGTTGCTCACATCACAAACTGCTGTGTGACAGGAAACTCACAGGTATTTGGCTGCAGGTGAGAAGTCGAGTGGCCTCGGCTGCCGTGGCAAAGGAACCCACAGGGGATCGGCGCCCCACTTCTCTGGCCTGTAGTAGGAAACCAGTGAACGGTGTGGAAGCTGGGGCCTGGAGCTGAACTGAGAAAACACAACATCTGTTTGCATACTGTTTATTTAAATATTTGACTATTTTGTTTATAATGTCAAAGAATGCAGTAAAGTGTCCATCACACGTTTTCAGAGTTCAAATTGGCATAAAATTGCTTTGTTTTGCCTTATTGAGAAGAAACCAAAGGTTGCAAACGTTTTAACCTTTGTTTTATCTGTAAATCTCCTATTGAAGAGGCGATAGATAGATAGATAGATAGATAGATAGATAGATAGATAGATAGATAGATAGATAGATAGATGGGTTTCTTTTTGGAGTACAGAGCTGGAACTCGTCATGCTAATGCGGACGCCATGTCCTGCCGCCCCTATGCCCTCGTCTGGGAGTCGAGGATGCCGTCATCTACCTGCTGCAGAGGGCTCATCACACCTGGATGGTGCTGGCTGCACAGTGAGAGTCACTTTCTTTGATTTCTCCAGTGCGTTCAACACAGGGGGCGCCCGTATAGCTCACCTGGTTGAGCGGGTGACCCATGAACAGGGGCTACAGTCCCCAACGCAGCGGTTGTGAGTTCGAATCCCGCTCATGACCCTTTGCTGCAGGTCTCTCCCTCATTCTTCTCCCCCCTTTCCTGTCTCTCTCTACTGCTCTAAATAAAGGCAAAAGCCCAAAAAAATATATTTAAAAAAAAAAAAAAAAAAAAGAAATGGTCTTTGGCAAACCCCCAGATGCACCAGCGGTACCATCAGGGCCAGAATACGTTCGCAAGCTCCAGGACAGGATGGAGGCAGCTCACGCCTTTGCCCGTGACCAGCTGCAGGAAGCAGGTGTGAGACAGAAATAAAACTATGACACAAGAGCAAAGGGCAGGGACTTCAAGGCTGGGGATCTGGTGTGGGTGTACAGCCCCAAGAGGAAGAAAGGCCGGTGCCCCAAGCTGGACTGTCACTGGGTGGGGCCTTGTGAGGTGTTGGAGAAGCTGGGTGAGGTGGTGTACAGGGTCCAGCTGCCACCCAGAGGGAATTGGGTGGTCCTCCACAGAGACAGGTTGGCCCCGTATAGAGGAGGCACCCACACATATCGGATCCCCAACACGTCAGGGCCACCTCAAGGAGAGAGGGAGAGGGCGGAGGAGCTTCAGACAGACATGGCTGTGCATGTGTACGTGTGGTGAGTGTGTGCGGATGTGACCCGACAGCTGAGACGTTGTGGGCTCGTTTTGTTCTGTGTTGTTTTGGCGTGGTTGCAGCTGACAGTAATCCTGTTCAGTTTTGCTGAGCCATTACAATGACGGAACACTGACAGCGTCTCCTGCTTTGTTCTTTCATCCAGCTGGACGTTACACTATTTAACAGATTAAAGTCCGGAACTTGACCTTCTCAGTCTTTCCGGACCACATTGTTAAGATAGCCGTGCGTGGGCTGCGTTCAGCGAGGTCCGGCGACAACTTCGTGGCATTGATGGTGTTCGGTACAGACTCATCCACTCCGCCCGGCTGTCGTATCACACACGACGGTGTTGGGAAGGAATTCATTTCAGCAGAGGAAACCAGCGACTATGTCAAAACTTTGAAAACTGGTTGAGCTGCATTAACCCGTACAGAGCCAGTTTTGTCTGTGTGCTGGTTTGCCATTGACTCTGTATTTGCCAATAAATTGTGGGCTCTTTAACCTGAAATATACCTCTGCTCCCTACTAGGTCAGTGTTACTTGTAGTTGTTTAAAACAATATCAGGTACCTTTTTCTTCACCGTCTTGGTCACTCTGACATAATGTATATTATATTTTTGTTCCTTAAATATGAGTGGAATTAACATTGTATTTGCACTTTTATTTTTACATCCTTTGCCACTGTTTTGCTGGTGCGTTGTCTTTCTGTCCTATGTGGAATTTTGATTTAAGTTGATAGGATGCCTACCAACTTTGTGTCCGGCTAGTATGTTCATCTTCAGTTAACATATTCTGGTATATATATATATATATATATAACATTTTGTTCTATGATTGCACACACTGTTGATCATCTTTGAAATTGATAGGAGTCTCTTCTCCTGCTTTTGTTTGCTTTACTTGTGGATACTGTGGGAAACACCGCGGTCTCCGTTGTTTTGTGGCTACAGGGGGACTTTGGCTGTATGTTTGGGGGTATGTTGGGGGGAGGGTATCCACCTCAACTCTGTAGCTATTTGTGGGTTTTTTTGGCTATTCTATTTAAGCACCATCATAAACTCCAGCATTGCTGGTTCAGATTTATTAGCTGGAATATCAGAGGCATGGCTAATCCTGTCAAGAGGTCTAAGGTTTTCACACACTTGAAGCATTTAAATTCTGCGATTGCATTCTTACAGGAGACCCATCTCCGGATTAAAGATCACCACAGGCTACACTATCCTTGAGTAAGTCAAATTTTCCACTCAGACTTTAAATCAAAAGCAAGAGGAGTTGCCATTTTAATGAACAATAAAGTACAATTTTCATCCAGTGATGTCGTTGGAGATAAGGATGGTAGATATCTGACTGTAGCTGGCACCCTAATGCAAAGGAATGTTTTGATGGTAAACATACAACAAACTTTGATGAAGCTGAATTCGCTAAGAGATTACTGAAAAATTAAAGATTTTCTTAAAAATCTATTGAATCCCATCATTGACCCAAGCACTGCAGACCAATTGGACTCCCCACTCTCCTTGATGAATTCTAATTTCACTTAAAGCTATGCAATCTAACAAAGTCCCTGGCCCGGATGGCCTTCTGAATATTTTTTTTTTTTTTTTTTAATTATGGGGAAATTTGCGCCACTACTTTTATCTGCGTTTAATGAGTCCCTGGATCGTGATTCACTACCACCCACTTTGACTCAAGCGACTACTGCTGTCCTTCTTCAGAAGGACAAAGATCCGACCTCCTGTGGCTCCTATAGACCATTGTCTTTGCTCAGTACTGATGTAAAGGTGTTGGCTAAAGTAACTGCATCTCGTTTAGACAATGCGCTTCCTTGCATTATTTCTGAAGAGCAGAATGGTTTTATCAAGGGACGCCAGTTATTTTTTAATACCCATAAACTTTTTAACATAATTTACTCTAAACATGCACCTTAACTTCCTGAGATCATTTCTTGGATGCTGAAAAAGCATTAAAAAGAGCAGAGGGGAGCACTTGTTTGCTGTTCTGAAGAAGTTCAGTTTTGGTGATAAATTTATTTCTTGGATCCGTCTTCTTTACTTATCCCCTAAAGCCAGTATCCATACTAATGACCTTTATTCTGATTATTTTGCTCTTGGGCGTGGCACTTGCCAAGGTTGTCCTCTGTCACCTTTGCTTTTTGCCATTGCTATCAAACCGTTGTCCATCACGTTACAATCTTCCCCCTATTTAGAGGAATCATCCGAAATGGAACTGAACACAAATTATCATTGTATGCTGATGATTTAATATTGTATGTAACTGATCCTACAAACTCTATTCCGGCTGTTTTGAACATTTTGGAGAATTTCAGCTGGTTTTCAGTTTATAAAAAAGAAAAGTGTATGTTTTCCTATTAACACTGCAGCACGTCGTCTCCAACAATCAGACATACCTTTAGCCCTTCAGGGTTTAAATACCTTGGCATTAATGTGTCACCTTGCATCAGCTAATTTCACTCCCTTATCTCAGTGATCACACCCGATATTCAAAGATGGGGCGGCCTCCCCCGTTCTCTAACTGGCAGGATCAACGCAGTTAAAATTAACATATTACCAAAATGTCTTTTGTTATTCCAGTCAATTCCTCTCTTTCCACCAAAACATTTTATAAATTCTCTGGATAAGTCAATAGGCTCTTTTACTGAGGGTGGGAAGTCACGTAGAGTTTGTAAAACTTTACTGCAAAGAAGCAGACTTAATGGTGGTCTTGCATTACCTAATTTCCAATTTTACGATTGGGCCACTCATGTCCATAAACTTTGCTGTTGAATATACTCTCCAAGTTCGTCTTGGTGTAATTTAGACTTATCATCTTGTAGAGGTTCATCTATACCTACTTTACGTCATTCCTCTTTGCCTACTGAACTAAACTAAACCTTCATTGTATACCAATAATCAAGTGGTTCTTAACACACTTCAGATCTGGTTTCAATTTAGGCAGCGCTTTAAACTCTCAGATGCATCTTCCTTAGGTCCATGAACCAATAAACACAGGGTCCATCACTCTTGGACCCTGTGCTGTCAGCATGGTTTGACAAGGGTGTTAAACAATTCAAAAATCTATATGTACATGGGGTCTTTGAGAGCTTCGGTAACCTTTCCTCTAGCTATGACCTCCCTCCTTCTGACTTGTTCCACTATTTTCAAATTCGTGATTTTGTCTCCAGATGTTTGCCTATTTCCCTTCTGTACCTTCTGGACACCCTAGTGAGGATTAAGCGGTGTATAGATAATGGATGGATGGACCTTCTGGACAGCTTTGGGTAAACTTGCTCTCGGACAGTCCTCATAAGAAATGTTTAATTTCCAACATATACAACTTAATTTTGTCTTTAAGTAGTCATTCCAGTACCAAAATTAAGAATGCATGGGAACAGGAACTGGGACTCCAATGAAGTGTTGACTGATGTCGTGATCGGTGAAGGTCGTGATCGAACAGACTGTGTTCATAGTCTGTTCGATCACGACTGTGTTTCTGTTTTTTGGACCTTGTTTTTTGCCTGACGATTTCTGGATACCTTTGCCTGTGTGACTGACGACCCGTGTACTGAACCTTGTTTGATATTAAACCTGCCTTTTTGCCTGAACCTATTCTGAGTCGAGCATTTGTGTCCAACTGTTGTATGACGCCGGCTTTTTGAAAAGAGCCGAACTTCCCATCACTACAGTCCACCACCTCTTGTGCTCATCCGGGACTTATTCAATTTAAGGTTCTGCATAGGGTCCTTTTCTCTAAACCCAGACTTTCTGGAATATATCCAGAAGTGGAAGATGAATGTGACAGAGGCCATGGCTCTCCTTGTCATCTCAGCCATGTGTGTTTTCTGTGCCCGGCTCTAAACGATCTTTGGACCGAGTATTTTAATATTAGGCCCACAATTTGCAGCCTTCCCCATTGATTGCTATATTTGGGATCCCTGATGCTTCTGGTGCATTAAATTCTAACCAAATGGACATTTAGCTGGCACGTCCCTGTCGGCCAGACGTTGCTTGTTATTGCACTAGAAGTCTGTCAGCTGTCCTCCCATCTCCTGGTGGCTTAAAGACGCCGTTTTCTTTCTAAAGCTTGAGAAGATAAAATATACTTTGAGAGGATGCACCAAGTTTTTCTGTATATAGCAACCATTTATCTCATGTTTTACAAGTTTGAAGCTACTCCCGGACTGAATGTGTGCCTGTTTCTGTGTCTCATAAATCGTGGATAGCCAATATTGTACGCTGGTCATGTTGTGATGAGTTGAGGTGGGATGGGGTGGATGGGAGGGGGGTTATGTTGTTCACATTGTTCTCTGACTTAGTTTGTTTTGCTCTTGTGTGCATAGGTGTGCACAGGTGTGTTCAAGTGTTGGCATATATCCTGCATACCTGTATGTATGTATGTATGTTATGGATTTAAAAAAAAGGAAAAATTGGATTGCATTTGTCATTGACGTTATCTCATTACTTTCCTCAATAAAAATATTTGGAAACAAAAGGAAACTTACATCTCAAAATCTACAAACATACATCCAAAACCTTCTGCACAGAGAGATACCACCACAGTGAAGAGGGAACATCGTTCTGTTGTTGGGATTACAGGGCTGCAGGACTGAGAAAGCATTTGTTCTTTCATGTGGTCCTTGATGGATTAAAGTGTGAATGCTGTCTTCTTCAAGATTGTTATACTTTACAACTACGCACAACTATACAAATCTAAGGAGCTGCATGATGTGGGTTGAAACTGACTCGTAACTTACCTTTGACCTCCTTTCCAAGTCCGTAGCTGTTGTGCTCTGTAGTAACAGTGAAGGGCGACGGTCCTGTTTGCGGGCGCAGCCCATTGTGGTGGGGCTGCATGTCGTCACAGCTGTCCATGACTAACCCTGAGCTGTAGCACTGAACTACTGGAGCTACAAACACCAGCAGCAGCAGAACAAGGTCCATGGTAACAAAATGATCAGTTCCCAGTCAACTCATAGAGCTGGGGAGAAGCAGAACCACACTGCTGCTTTTCAGCCAAGAGGAGCTCAGGTGGCGTGGAAACAATGGCTGGGAGATGGGAGGGGGAATGCATGGAGCAATGGGAGGAGGCTACAGGTTGACAGGTGTACACCTGCCCTGTGTAGGCCCTGTGGAGGGAGGGGCGGGGGTACTGTGTTGGTGAGTCTCTGCTGTTGCTAGGCTACAGTCTCCCACCATCTTCCAGCAGCAAAGTTTATTCTCAGAATACCCATGTCAATAGACACTGATGTCAAAACTCCACAATAGAAGCTTTACAGCATGAGGTACACAAGTCAACAAGAAAATACACACAAACCAGCAGAAGACACTTGGGGTGTGAAAATCACACAACACACTGGGAAACAACAAGCCCGGCTAGTCTGGAGCAAACGTATTCACCTGTGAGCACCTCTAAAGGTAAGGCTGGTGGAAGCAGACAGACATAAGAGTGGAAGAAGAAAAGACGCCATCATATTTCCTGAAGTGTTAAATGAAAATGATCCTTTTTGAAGTTCCAGTCATTCTGTTTTTTTTATGTTGACATATTAAAAATGCCATTCATGTAAAGTCACTAAAGAACTATGAAAAATGAGTCATTTTAAACACAAGAAAAGAAATGTCCTCTGTGACATCATCTCACTGCATTTCTTCAACAGGATGGAAGTATTTATGGCAGGTCAAGAATATTATAAAACACCGCCAATGGCCATCTTCGTGTCGGTGCTTTCACTGAGTATTTCCTCGCCGTTTGATCAAGCACATCTACTCCAACCTTGGTTCTGTTGTAGTACATAACAGTCTCCAGTTTAGCCTTGCGGCCACTTGTGATGTTAACAGCTGTGTGGACAGTGCTTAGAATGGAGACATGTTTTCTTGGTTTGCATTTATAGACTGTTGGGGTTGCATTGTCACATTTCAGCACCTCTGTTGTGTGCAGGGCCCTTTGCTCCTTTACAGATGGAGGAAGCTCTCGTCTGCTCTTATTCACTGTATTTATTTACTCTCTTTGTTTTAGATTGAAGCTATAACTTGGTTTTTGCTTCACAGGGGAACCCACACGAGGGCAGCAGGACCCACACGGTGTGGTGGTCCACTCTGGGGTCAAGTTAAACTTTTGTTTCTGTCTCGTCTTCCTGTTTCTGTTGGCAGCTTTTATTTTGTAGTCTGGTCTTCATGTGATCTTTGTCAGCTCTACTTCCTGTTGTCATCTCCTCTTCCTGATTGGTGGCTCCGCCCTAATTGTGCCCAGCTGCTCCCCATTAGCTCACCTGTGTATTTAATGTGTAAGTCTCCCTTTGTTCTGTTTGGCCAGTGGGTCATGTTCCTGCACCGTTCCTGTGCCGTCTACACCGTCCAGAGCTCCAAGCTCAGTGCTTTTGAGTTCTTCTCCTTCTATTTGATGCTTTGTTCTCCAGCTTTGCTGGGAGTTTTTTGTTTGTTTTTTCTGTCCAGTGACCTGAAGAGAGGTTTTCTAGGTCTGCTGAGTTTTTGTCGTATTTGACATTTCTGTTCACTTCCACTGTTGAGTCCTGCATCTGGACCCTGATCCTGAGTCCTGTCACACAGAGGCTGCCTGTGCTGAGGAGGAGTGAGGATCCAGCTGCTGTGGTTCTGCTGTGGTTCTGCTGTGGAGGGAGACCAGTCCGCTGACAGGGAGGCTACACATGAGGTATGAGTCGCTGCAGTTCTGAGAACTTGGATAAAGTGTTCTGTTCATTCATGAGCTCTAACCAAGCCTAAACTAAGCTGAACACTGGAAGCTAAAGAGAGC